AATTAATGGATATACAGAAAGCTTCAGTTTTTATTTGTATTTTTCTCTCTTTTTCTGTCATTTAAACCTAGCTGTTCTCTTCTCATGTATCTTCTAGTTTACTAAGCCTCTCTTTAACTGTGTTTGTTATTCAATCTTTCTATTGAATTATTGGTTTTAGTTACTATACTTTAGGTTCAAGGATCTTTATAGTGGTTTTTAGATTATGCTAAAAGTATTCATTTAAAAATTTAATTTCTGTCAAGAACTGAGAAGGATCTAAATATTACCCTACATACAAACTAATAAGTCAGTATGCCATAATTTCATGAATCCTGACAGTACACACAAGAAATATGACTTCATTACTAAAAGCAAAGCAAGATGCAAGTGCTTCATGTCTGCGTTTATTTCCCTCATTGCCCAAATTCTACAGAGGTGATATAGAGCAGAACCTAGTAGAATTCTGCACAGAGAGTAGGTTTCTGTCACTGAGGAGGAGCTACAACTTGGGAAACCTGACTCCTATAATGGCCTATAAGAAAATATTCCCAGGTCCAGGAGGTGGTGTAGTGGTTAAGAAGCTGTACTCCCACAGAGTTGTCTGTGGTTCAAATAGCAGGCATGGTGGCAGGAAAATCATATTGGGCACCTCTTCATGTGTGTCCAAAATCCAGAGAAGAGAATGTAGGAGAAGGGATTGTGGCATGGCCATCTCCCCCTTGGAGGGTGATTTCTCACTTTCCCTCTCTTTGTATCTCTCTCAGGTGAGCATATGTGCCCTATGGCAAAAACCTAAAAAGAAAAGAGAAAAAAGGAAAGAAAATATTTCCATTTTTCCTGGACAAAGACAGTGTATTTGTCATACTGTATATTAAGCCTACCTCTTGCTTTGGAGAGAGACACTATCACTCCTTTCTAAGGCTGTTTTAAACATTAATATCTTTTAAAAGATAGTCCAGAAAAAAAGCTGTCAGTGCTTTCCTTGAAAGATAGGCATAAAGAAAAGAGACTCATAAAGAACTCTATTCTAGCACAGCAGTAGTGGCAAAGTGGGAGGGCACCACTGCCAATGGTTGAGGCCATTGACAGGTCTCAGTTTGGTTCCTGGCTCAACCTAAACAAGCCAGGCATGGTGGCATGCACTTGTGAAGTTAGCTCATTGAGGGGCTGTGGCAGAAAGATTTTGATGTGGTGAGACCCTGTCAGAAATACATTTCTCTCTATCTCTCCCGTGTGTTCTCTCGCTCTCATTAAAAAACTAAAACAAAAACTGTATTCCAATAATCTCTTGAATTCAATCACATATTTTATAAATTTTGACAATATCTTTATCTTCCATGTGTTTCTTTTTATTGTTATTTATTTTTTTCTTTTTCACCCTTTGTTTTTAGTTCATGGACAGTCTTTTGTGGTCATTGTGAGTATGAAGTAAGTTTTTTAATTATGTTACTGAAATTTTACAGTTGTTACTGAAGAATACTCTTGCGTATCCTGACTGGATTCAGAATGTTATTTTTATTGTTATTGCTGCAATTGATACTAGCAGATGCTTAATGAGCTATTTCAAAAACAAAATGGAAGTGTGGAAGACTTTCAAATTCAAGTACAAACTGTTTACATTTCCACAAATAATACTTCCAGCCTGACTTTCTACCTCTTAACCCATCTCCATAAAGGAGAGATATACTTGATTGATGACATCAAATGAAGGGTCTATAAACTGTTGTCCTTAACCCTTTCTCTCTTTCAGAACACACATGTTCTTTTCCAATGGTTGTAAATTGCTGAGAGCAAAGGTCTATTATTTTCTTGTCCTCTACTATGACTAGGTAGCTGTGTTTAATTCTTAAGAAAAAATAATTGAAAACCTAAATGTAGCAACAGGCCAAATTAGATTCTATAACCCAGTTTGCTGGTAACCAAAGATATTTTGGTATTTTATTTACCTATGTCTTGCTTCCTTAATTGTTTTACCTGGTCATATAAGGGCTGTAATTATATAACCTTAGTCCCAACATGTAATGGTTCCCAAAAACCTAAATTTGTGAATCTATTACTCGCTTAAAGATTTTCCCTTTTTTGTGGGTGGAGGATTGGAGGTGCAGAGTTTTGCATATTGCTTCATGGATATTATTACAGACAGATGGAGGAGTGGACAC